AGATGTATCACTGCTGTAACACCTGTAACATTCAGCAGTCGCCTCATTGTTCTGACACACACAACAAAACTATTGACTACACTACACACTAACTACACAAGATTTGCGCTAAACGCGCAAATCTCTCACATCTCAAAACACGTCACTCCTAAAACTTCCCCCTTCTAAACAATGTTCCATATAATTTTTTGATTGGTCGACATGGTACATTTTTCCACCAATAGGAAAGGGTGGGGGGTTTTTGGTTTTGTTTTTGCTCACAGGCTTTCCAGCGTTTTCCTTATAAAACACCGTTTCTTCCCGCAGTAAATATAAACAACGACAGTATTCAGGAAGAAAACCAAACATTGCATATATTTTTTATCATAACTCTGGTTTTACGTGGCCTATCAACACAATTTAAAAACTGGTATAAAGTCCACACTTTTTCCATCAATTGTTCCGTCTGTCCTGCTCACATCTCCAATGGTTGTACACGTTGTCATTAACGTGGCTTCCCTCCACATCAGCCACGCCTCTTTGCTAGCTAAAGCACTGGTGTCGGCAGCATAAGGACGCTGTCATAGCCTGTCAACCACGTTGATTAGCTGCGTATATATGAATGTGAATGCATTATTGGCTGGACTATGGGATAAGGTGGCATCGTTCTAATCCCATACGGGAGCAGCCAGTCACTTACTGACTAACACTGCAAAACAGAATTGTTAAAGTTTTAATTTTAATTTCAATTCAGGTTAGATTTTTTTTTGTGCGCAACGCAGATTTTCTGTGCGCAGAGACCGTGCCAGCAGTGCGCAATTGCGCACGCACGCAGCTTAGAGGGAACATTGATCAACACCATAGGAAACCAAACTACCATTGTATACAGTGTGAGAAGAGCACAACTTACCCCTCTTGAGTTGTCTGATGGTTAGCTTTGAACCTGACCAAAATTCTCATTCAATTTTTATCTTCCATGCACTCCTGGCTGGTACAGCCTTCCACCCATCCAGGTCACACTGCTCTCCAAATAAGTGGTTAAATCCCCCAGCAGAGCAATTAAGTCCCTAGATGTAACACTCTTCAACCCAACCAGTGACTCCAAGAAATCTGGGTTACTCTACTGGCTTGTGGCACATAGCCAGATTGACGTGCCAGGACGTCCACTTCCAAATTCTAAACTGACATTTAAATGGTGTTAATAAGCTAACAAGACCAAAGGTTTTGCATTATACTCCCCAAGGTCTCTCAACTATACAAGGGTAACCACAGAGTGTGAAAAGAGGAGTCTACAGGTGTTGGTTGAAGCCCTCTAGTGGCAACTTTTTTTGTTTAGACCTTGGTCCTCCACTGGCTTACAGATAATCACCAGTGTTGGGTAAGTTACTTTAAATTAGTAACTTAGTTACATTACTAGTTCAAAAGTAACTCAGTTACTTCAAGTTACTCGTTACTTTCAGAGTAACTAGTTACTAGGGAAAGTAACTTTGGTTTTACTCAGAATTCTCTTGTTAATGTGTTGCTTCCGTAACTGGATACCCAGCAAGATTGTCAGTCCTCTAGCTTGCTTACTTGCCACAAGTGCACTGTGCCACCTACCAATAAAAAGGAAAAAATAATGTGCATATTTCCACGAGAGAAATCCCACGCCTGGACCGTCGTTGACCGCCGCCATGATTCTAGCCTACTAGGGACGGGTGGAAACTCTAATAATTAACCTTATGAACAAAATAAAGTTCAACATCAGTAACATCATAGCACCACCCAGCTGTATAGAAACTCCGTCATGCTAGCTAGTACCCAGTACGAAAAAGTCAGCATAACTAAAATAAACTCCAACTTGGTTTATATCTGACCCAGATAGACTGCAGGTCATAACTTCTTACCTGAAGGTCATTTCACCTGACACTTGGACCGGCGGCCACCTCGGGTCTCTGCTCCTCCTGCCTCCCCTTTCCCTCATCCACCTGCTGGCCTCCACCACTTGCTAATGTTACTGAATCTGTTGAAGCTCCGCGATAGCCACCGCAAGAAGTAACGAATAACGACCCTATCTAAATCCCAGTAACGATTAACGCGTTCCTGATTTTGGCATAATAACTAGTTACCGTGCTCGTTACCACAATAATAACGTAGTTACTGTAACGCGTTACTTAATAACGCGTTAGTCCCTACTAGGGATGGGTGTTGATAAGATTTTCGCAATTCCGATTCCATTTTCAATTCTGTTTAACGATTCGATTCTTTATCGATTGTCTTATCGATCCTTATTTTTTTAAAAAGGAGAACACTAAGGTCGATTAGCTTAGAACTTTGTTTTATCTTCTCTTTGAACAAGATAGAAATTTAGGAGTAACATGGCCTTACAAACCCAACAGTGAGATCTTAAGAGATCCACAGCCTATGGCTCTTCCATGGGATGTCACAGGGTCCCCAGGAAAAAAAATTGTAAATGTAAAATAATAAAATAAATATTCTTCTGTAGCAATAACAAAGTATAACATAAATCATTCTGTAGCAATTACACAAGAATTCCCAGTAATGTTCCTGCCTACAATTAAACACATTCACTTACCGAAAATCGGGGGCATCTGCTGTGGCAAATGGGTGCAAGCCTTTTACCACAAACTCAGTCACTGCTCGGTGACATTCGTCTATCCTGGCCTGAAAGGAGACGTTACCGGTAGACTGCAGTGAGAACTGCCAGCATCTGAGCCACCACAGTAATGGCAGGTTTTGTAATAAGGCAGATCGTGCTAACATAATATGCACTGTTAGTTGATTATTTACCTGCCGCATTAACGGGAGAGGACGTGGAAACATTACCGCTGCTGCTGGGTTGAGATTCACGAGTCCGGAGCGGAATTAAAAACACGACATTCATTTAAGGTCATCGCGTGTTTTGTGAGCAAATGCTTTTGCATATTCGTAGTGTTTCCTCCCTTAAATGAAATTCTACTTTACAAGTATTGCAAGTTGCCCTGTTGTCATCCGTTCTCGTAAAGTATGACCAAACTCTTGAGCGTTTGAGCCGCTTAGGCGCCGTGTTTCCTGCCAGGTAAATGATGCTCCGCAACGTGGTGACGTCATTCGGGGCGACTGGAATCGATAAGGGAATCGTTTGCAAAAATGGCAAACAATTCCAAGGAATTGAAACAGTTTGAACCGGTTCTCAACAAGAACCGGGTTTCGATACCCATCCCTAGTCCCTACACTGATAATCACAAAATGTCTAAATACCTCTGATGTACTGATTTGACAGAAAGCCCAATCAGCTGACTATAAGAAGGAGATTACTGCAGGAACTGGTTTCAATTCCTGTGACGTCTATGCCTTAGCTGCTGCCATCGATGATACATTGATAACTGAGAGCGAAGAGGTAAGCAACTCCTAATTTTTATCAGGTTAAGTAAAATTTCAAGTATTGTTTAACAGTTTCTTGTGTTTCTCCTTCAGGTTGCGGTGGCAGTGGAGTTAGAGGGGACCTACACCCGAGGCATGATGGTGGTGGACTACATCCAGAAGCTGAAGAAAGACCATAAGGCCATCATCATGAAGAAAGTTGACTTGGAAAAGTTAAAGCAAATGTTGACCAATGCACTCAAATAGAATGTTTCTATGCATGCTGAATGCGTGAGTTTGGTTCATAACAAGAAATAAAAACTGATTTTTTTCTCTTTGAAAAAGAGCACACCAAGTTGCTGGTGCCTAAAAGCTGCTGGGAATTGATTTCCCAGGTCGCTCACTATAACCCCACGGTGAATAATGGTCCAGTTTTCATGGCCAAGCATGTGGGCTTATGTGTCTGTGGTGTGAGCTGTTGAACCAGCCAGCCATTCCAAAAGTGCCTTTATGCCTATTGCTGTTAATGGAGGTCCCGTTTGAGTTCACTGACATGGACCTTATCGGGCCATTTTATCAGAGTGCACAAGGATATCACTTTGTATTTGTTCTAGTCGATTATGCGGCATATTATGCGGATATCCAGAGGCAGTGCTGCTGCGCACCATTTCTGCAAAGAGTGCGGCGCAGGCACTTTTCAGGTCATCTCCCACATCGGCATCCTGAAAGATATACTGACTGACCGGAGAACTTTATTCATGTCCCACACACTGAAAGAGCTATACAAATTACTGGGCATTAATCTGTTCAGACCAGCATCTACCACCTTGAGATTGATGGATTGGTGGATCATGAGGATAAACACAATTGGGATCTCTGGTTAGACCCTCTGTTGTTTGCAGTGTAGGAGGTGCCCCATGCCTCCACGGAATTTTCTCACTTTGAGTTGTTGTTCGGCAGGAAGCCACGAGGCTTTTTGGACTTGAATAAAGAAAACTGAGAGGAAAGTCTGAGCCCACCTAATAATTAGATTCAATAGGTTCTGGGCCTGAGAGCAAAGCTGCACATGTTGGGGAGGTAATCACGAGAGAATTTTCTCCAGGCCCAGGAATGACAGCAGCACAACAGAGGTGCTATTCATAGGCAATTTTCACCGGAAGATGCTTGTATTGCTAACTTTTTTTCAGCGCAAAGTTACTTGCAAAGTGGCAAGAACCCTTCATGGTCACAGGGCGAGTGGGGGACGTAGACTATGAAGTGGTACGGTCGGACAGGGGAGGAGCCACCCAAATATATCACCTTAACCTTCTTAAAGCGTGGAAAGAGGCTAAAACCAATTCTCTGGTGAGTCTGGTTAAGGAGAGATGAGTGGGGGGTAGAGGCGCCAAATTCAACCATTCCCACCTACCTCCCCACCTGGGCGGCGCATGTGCGGTCCTGGATTACCTTTGGCCAATGAAATCTGATGTGTTTTCAAAGTGTTTTTTTTATTTCTTTTAATCGCTCTATATCTAAATATCGACCTCATTAGTATTATAAGAAACTTCATATATAAAGTTTTTTATAAAAGGGCTTGGATATAATTTCACCATATACAAACATACTTGATCACCTTTTCACTCTTCATAATTTGTTCAGTTTGCTTCACATGATCTGATCTTCTTTCCTCTCCATCTTAGATTGAGGGCACAAAGAGACCACTCATCAGGGATTTAGCAGAGCTGATCAATAAGATGTGACTGGCCCAGCATTACTCCATAATATCACTAAAAGAGGAGTGCCAGAAGCAGATGTTAGCTGCTGCTAACATTGTTGCTCTTAACTCCATAGACCTCCTGAATGCTGTGAATTAGGCTCGGGTCAGGGCTAGCGTCACCAAGCCCAAACCTGTCTCACAAGATGTAAAAGATTTTGGTCAAACTGTGCAATCCTCAGAAACACTGTTAAGCGCCAGGAGCTACATCTCAGATTCTACAGGCCTCAGTTAGTATGTTGAATGTTAAACTTCATGACAGTATAATTAGAAAACAACCAAACAATTATGTCTTTTATAGAAGGATTAGGAGAAAAAAAACTTTTCTCTAAAAAGAGCATGGCAGCATAGCTTACGTTTCTTCTTGAACAATGTGCTCTGCACAGATGAAACCAGATTGGAGACTTTTGGCCATTATGCACAGAGTCAAATAAAAAACAATCCAAACATATCAGCACAAATAACTCATGTCAACAGTCAAGAATGGTGATAGAGGGGTAATGACCTTCGCTTATTTTGCAGCCACAGGACCTGAGTATCTTACAGTCGGTGAGTTAAACATTATTCTAGAGTCAAGACACAAGTTTCTATAAAGTGAGAGTAATTGGCTTCCCAAATACTTGGCAAGCACAGATACATCAATTATGATCTTCAAGTTTTTTCTTCCTTCTCATGAGAGGCGGAATTACAATTTAAGGGCTCTACACCGAAGAGGTTATGAAGGAATTCCCACCTCCCACTGGGCAGAGTTAGCCAAAAGCTAATGCAGCCTCTCTCTAAGTAATTCTATCCACTCTTCAGATCACAGCATTCAGCTGCAGTGGCTCATATCAGTAAGCTGTAAACATCTGTCAGAATCCATTCACCAGGTGAGCATTATACATTTCATCTTAGAATCTCACTATACTGTGAAACTTAGAGTAACATTAGAATGCAATTCTGAACACTGAATAGTGCATACATTATACATTATAAAACTAGCCTAAAGGCAAAGCTGTAAAAGGGATCTAAAGTATATTCTCGTGCCTTGGCCGTAAAACCCGTTGAAGGAGTCTTTCATTGGTATTTCATGTTCATATTTTGGAATTACTATAAACATAAGGTTGTTCTACAAGTAAAAGCTTATGACAAAGTGAAAAGAAAAACACAGGATGAAGAAGAAACTCATCATTGATGTGGACACTGGGGTGGATGACGCTATGGCCATCATGGTGGCCCTTGCCAACCCTGATGTGGAGATTTTGGGGATCACCTGCTGCCATGGCAACACACCCCTGGAGAAAGTCCTCAAGAACACGCTGCGTGTCCTGAAAATCTGCAATAGGCTGGATGTAAGTTTTGAGCAGAGTGTGGGAGAGTCTTATACATGGATATGGTGACAGATCTGACTGCATGGTTGCATGCTGGATGACCTGCTATTAAATGCAACCTACAATACAGATTCCAGTGTATCATGGCTGCTCAAAGCCTCTGCTGGCCCGCAAACAGCATGCGGGTGATTACCACGGGAAAGACGGGCTGGGGGATGTCCCGGATCCAGATGCTCCAGGCTTGGATCTGCTGCAGAAGAAGAAAGCTGTGCAGGCCATGATCAAGCTTGTGAAAGACAATGCTGGAGAGGTGAGTGCTCTGTTAAACATGTTGCTAATGTACTGTAAATAAAATTTAAGAGCAAAATTTTTCTGTGTATGCATGTATTCTATGCATACCAGAATTATTATAGTTTTTGGATTCTCTTTATTTATTTTAATTTTTGTTTTTAATTCAGTTTAGTTAGGCTTAGTTTCTAGAGCGGATTTGCTCATTTCAGTTCAGTTGTTATTAAGTTTTATGTATCTAAAACACAACTCAATGACAACATTGTTTCACTACATGTGCCTTGAATTTGGGATTTTCTTGAAATGGTTTATTTATTTTAAAAAAAGGTAAACATAAAGGTTTACTCTATGTAAATGATCTATTGAATTTCACTAAAAAAGTAAATTTCTAGATAAAAAACCTTTATTTGTAGGGGTTTTGTTCATCCCAAAGCTATGTTATGAATAACAAGAGCACTCCAGTCATCAACACAAATTAGTCTTCTGCCTTCAGGTGATCCTCGTAGCCACTGCCCCCCTCACTAACCTGGCTGTCGCAGTGCAGTTGGACCCTTCCTTGCCAAAAAAGCTTAAGGCGCTCTACATCATGGGGGGGAAACACTGAATGTAGGCTTTTATTTATTCTGTTGTATCTTTTCAGTGATTTATGTGTTTATGTATCTATTTTAATAATAACAAGAACTGTAAAATGTTTGTGTGCAGCCAGAGGTAACACCTGCCCAATCTACATCTCCACCTGGGAGTTCACCTGCAGGAACAGCCTGTCATGGGTGAGGAGAGAAACAAACTGAACAGAACTTAAGCATACTTCCCGTATGCTTAAGTTCTGTTACAATCAACAATTATACCGTTTTAAAGGTTTGACACTGACAGAAATGACATTTAAAATAATATTTGAATGGATGCAATGACAGTATTTCTGACTGGGTAAGCAGAATGTTGCACAGGCAGACTGCATGGCTAGATGCTTGTTCTTATACAGCCATAGAAAATAGTGGCCCATGGTGGCGGTGGGGTTATGGACAATGAACATGAGTGCATTTTATTGTTGGCATTTTGAATGCACAGAGATACCGTGTCGAGATCCTTGAGACCATTGTTGTGCCATTTATCCATGACCATAACCTCAGGTTACAGCATGATAATGCATGGCCCCATTTTGCAAGAATATGCACACAATTCCTTGGAAGCTGAAAACATCCCATACTTGCATGGCCAGCATACTCACCAGACATGTCACCCATTGAGCATGTTTGGGACGCTCGGCGTATATGACAGTGTGTTCCAGTTCCTCCCAATATTCAGCAACTTTGCACAAGTATTGAAGAGGAGTGGACCTACGTTCCACAGCACACAATCAACAACCTGATCAACTCTATGCCCATTGCACACCATTTACCTCACAAGGTGCAACACATCTCCATTAGATTTGTTGCACCTTGTGAGGCAAATGGTGGTCACACCAGATACTGACTGGTTTTGCGACATCTGCAGCATTGTGCTGTGTGATCAAACTGCATATTTCAGAGTGGCCTTTTATTGTGGGCAGTCTAAGGCAGCAGTCCCCAACCTTTTTTGCGCCACGGACCGGTTTATGCCACATACATTATTTTCACGGACCGGCCTTTAAGGTGTCACGGATAAATACAACAAAATAAAACTAGTACCGGTACCAAAAAAAAGAAAATTTATTCATAACACACGTGAAAAGACCCAGGAAAACTGATAGGTTTGTAGCTTGAACCCATCCGCTGGAACGTTGAAGGCAATATAATTACACTGCAAAGCAAGACACAAGTAGGCAAGCTTCTTCATGTTTCTCGTGCACGGGAGAGAACCGGACAGGCACCGTTCCTTCGCTTGACCCCAGTTGCTCTCGTCCGTTCTCCCGTACCACTGTTCTTTTATTGAGGTTACATGAATATGCATAAGTTCATTAACATATGACGTCTACATACACACAAAGAGTACCTTGCCTGTGTGTGTGTGTGTGTGTGTGTGTGTGTGTGTGTGTGTGTGTGTGTGTGTGTGTGTGGGACTGCTGATCAAAGGGTCAAACATCCTTGGTCAGGAAGAGGGTAGCCTCCCCCTCACCCTAGATGGTTCATCCTAGATAACACGGTGAGGAAGTCCTGCAGTTCATCTAAACAAAGAGCACTTAGACTAGAACAGACGCAACTACGTTAATCCTACCATAAAACAATAAGACACGGTATGACCTCTCATGCTCCCAAAGTGCTGTCTAATACACACAAAGTTTGCAGACTATCAAGGATCAAAACCTCTGAATACAACAAAATAAAACTAAGTATAAAGAAGATTTATTCATAACACACGTGAAAAGACCCAGGAAAACCGAGTTAACGATAAAAACGATAACAAAATAACGCTGAAAACCGATAAAAACCCTGAAAACCATACATTTCACACCTGAGCCTCAACTCTCGCGGCCCGGTACCAAACGACTCACGGACCGCTGGGTTGGGGACCGCTGGTCTAAGGCACACCTGTATGGGGCGCCGTTTGTAAAGTGAAACATGCTGAAATTAACGGCAACATTTTTCCACATTTAGCTCAAAACTTTGCAAAAACATGTTTGTTTTTTCGATTCATTTTTTTACAGCATGGGGTAAAATATTTGTTACTTTTCATATTTAAAACACAATTTTAAATGTTAAATCTAAATGTTAAACGTTAAATCTAAATGTTAAACGTTAAATCTAAATGTTAAATCTAAATGCTAAATCTAAATATTATATTTAAATCTAAATGTAAATGTTAAATCTAAATATTATATTTAAATCTAAATGTTAAATCTAAATATTAAATTGAAATCTAAATGTAAATGTTAAACCTAAATATTATATTTAAATCTAAATGTAAAATATTAAATCTAAATGTTAAATGTTAAACCTAAATGTTAAATGTTAAATCTAAATATTATATTTAAATCTAAATGTTAAATCTAAATGTTACAGGAAACTAAATATTTAGCTAACATGCAAATTCGTACGGATCAACGGAAATACCAAAATGAAAGCTTTACGAAAACCTGCAAGGGCTGGTAGGCAAGAAGTGAAGCCGCTCATGGCGGTGAGAAGTGACCATCCGGGAAGAGCAGACACAATCTGACTACTACCAGCACACTTTTGCACCGGAGGTTTTCGTAAAGCTTTCATTTTGGCATTTCCGTTGATCCGTACAATTAATTTGCATGTTAGCTAAATATTTCGTTTCCTGTAATATTTAGATTTAACATTTAGATTTAACATTTACCATTTAGATTTAACATTTAGATTTAGATTTAAATATATTATTTAGATTTAACATGTAAAATTGTGGTTAAATTTGAAAAGTTACAAACATTTTACTAAATATTGTAAAAAATGACTTGAAAAAACATGTTTTTGTAAGGTTTTGAGCTAGATGTGGAAAAATGTTGCCATTAATTTCAGCATGTTTCACTTTACAAACGGCACCCCATACACCTGTGCCATATTCATGCTGTCTAATCAGCACCTTGACAAGCCACACCTGTGAGGTGGCATGGATGTTCATGGCAAACAAGAAGTTCTCACTAACACAGATTAAGACAGATTTGTGAACAATATTTGATGGGTCCTTTGTGTATGTAGAAAATGTTTCAGCTCATGAAAAATGGGAGCAAAAACAAAAGTGTTGCATTTATATTTTTGTTCAGTGTAGTATAACTACACATCATGGTGTGAGATTAATTTTCCGTAGAGGCTGAATAAACTCAGTAAGCCAAACTCAACACTACTCTCTATTAATTTTCTCTCTTTATAAAATACCAGAGGCAAGATTAGATGTTATAATTAGGTGATGAAAATGTGAAACAGACATAGCGGTAAAATATTAGCATTGTAACTATTTACTTAACATTTGCGAAAACTATGTTTTGTAAAATTTCAATACCTGTAAGGTTGTGTTTTTTTTAAGTGCTATTACCTTTTCGCATGTAGTTTAATTCATCTGCAGTTTTTCAGTTTTTTCATGAGAGATTACCTAGTCAATCCAGCTCAGGTAAATGGACTGGGGGTTTTTTCTACTGTACTTGAGCACTCGTAGCAATTTATACAACATGGCTCATTCACCTATTCACACACAAAAACAGTAAAGTGGAAAAATGTTGACTGGTCCTGATGTTTGCAGAGATATTCAGATGGTAGGGTCAGATTTAGGTGTAAACGACATGAAAGTGTGGATCAACTGCGAATATGGACTAAAACAGGGGTGTCAAACTCAAATACACAGTGGGCCAAAATTCAAAACTGGAACAAAGTTGCGGGCTAATGTTAATATTTATTGGGAAAAAAAATCTTCCTCCAGATTTAAGAATAAATCTTTTCTTATGGACTCAAATAAGTTTTGCTGGAAAACTGAATATGGAACAAGCAAAGCTTAATACTAAACAATATATATATTAGCTGTATAACACCAGTAGGTAAGCTCTAATAGTAATTTGGTATGGCCCGCGGTCCAGAGTTTGACACCTATGGACTAAAATGTATCATACTGTTGTTGGTATAATGGTGTGAAACAATTTCAACACTTTGAGCTCCTTGATACCAACTGAGCTTCATTTGAATACTGCAACCTACCTGGGTACTGTTGCTGACCACATCCATCCCTTCAGCACTACAGAATCAGAATCAGAATACTTTATTAATCCCGAAGGAAATTAGGGAGTGTACAGTGTACTCATTTTCTGATTGCTACTTCTAACAGGATGACAAATAATGTTTGTTTGTTTTTTTATCTTTTGTGTGAAACATTGCTTAAAGAATTTAAAGCACACGACTTTAGAACGACTCTTTTATTTTGAAAAAGAAATATTTTTAAGTCACTTGAAGCTCTGGCTGAAACACAGTCACCTCCAGTTCCATGTATTTTTCTTGAACTCCTTTTTATAAATTAGAGTGGTTTATTATGCATGCAATACCGCATTAGCCGCTTAGATTTTCTTCTTCCACAGAAAAAAAAAAAAACAGAGAGAAACACAAAAATCCGCTAAAAGTCCAGATGAAGCTGCTTGGAAAAGGGTGTTTGGAGAAGCCACAGCATGAAGCGATGTACACAGTTTGCGGTTGCATAGTACAGTACATGAAGTTCCTCATTTTAAAACAGCATGCCGTCTTGTATTGCACATTACTGAAACTTTGTATACTGGACCTTGCTGTTGTCCCACACGGGTTGACTTCGTCTTATTTCAGCACATGTATACAGCAAATCGCATCTCAAAGACATTATGTACATTTATCTCTTATAAAAATAATTGACAGCAAATATTCATGTATTATTTTTCTACTGGAATAAATGTTTATTCTTTTACTTTCTCGCTCTTTTTTGTGTTTTATATTATACCAAAGAAAATCTTCTCTACACGTCCTGTGTTTTGTGGTCACCTGGAGATTTAGTCAGAGAGAAAAAAATCAATCAAAGATGAATTTTGCTTGCAGAGAAACTTTTGCTGACACATAAAGTCAGAAGGAACAAATAAAAGCAGGTCTGGAGGTCTGTGAGTGAAAGTGGCATTATTTCATTCTTACATTTCTCTTCATAAAGAGAGCAATGGTGGGACGC